GCGCACTGGGGTTTCCCAAACAGCCAAGAAAGCCGCTGATTTTAGATTTGTTTCCAAGCTTTGGTCAGTATCTAGGATTTCCAGAAAATGTGACCCAATTTGGCCACTGTGTACTGAAAGGTCAGAGTTCCGAATTCCTGCGTGCACACAAGCATTCTATCGTGTCGTATTGTATAGTGCATGTGGAGAGAGCCGCTTGCCAGGTAGTTCTCTACGATGTGTACTCGGTCGACAGTTTCGCTGCATGCTGTGTTGCTCGCAAATTCTTGGGACTCGGCGTTCACTATGAAGGAGACATGCTGAGCTTGTGTAGACATCTCCGGGAGAGCCAAGAAGAGGTGCTTGCAGGTGACTTTATTTGTGTTAGCCATCTCAGCCAACAGCGGTGAATTCCACACTAGCGTCACTACTAGTAGTTCCGGGTTCAACCAGGTCTAGAGACTGAAGTCCGAAGAAGTTCGCGCCACTATCCATAGTAATATGTGGTGTCTGCATGTGTCTGCGCAACCTGAAGGCGTCCGTTCATTTTCATATTCGGAAAGTTGTATATCCACATGCCAGAGAGCCTCTTCCCATTGATTGTCTTAAAAGCAGTCGGTAGACATATGGTTCGAGCAGTCGAGCACTCAAGCTTCTCATCACCTGGGTCACCGTTGCTCTCTATTGCTTCTGGATTCTGTGGTTGGAACCATGTCTGAATCCGTTATGATGCTTCGGCTCACCGTTGCTAATCCCCAGAGACTAAAATCGCCGGATGCGTGTTGCATCCCGACTTTTCGACAAGAAGTGCCTTGGAGGAGTCACACGTGGGTCTTGCCTCCAGCACTTGAGCCTGGATGCTGAAGGATTGGATGGAAAGGCCCGAGAAGAGCTGTGGACCAGCGGAAGCTTGACATTATGTCAACTAGCTATGCAGCGGCAATACAACGGGGCGAACAGCCGGGGGCAGTTATGGGTCACACAATTCGCCAGAAGTATCGACCAGGCCGTCGCGATGCTGGGCTTATGCTGGAAAGTGGTAGACATTCTCGACTTGTGCCTTGGAGCTAGCTGATTCCACGCTGAAACTGCATGCTCGTAGCTGAACCCTTTTTCACTATTCATCTTGCGACAGCATGCGTGTCACATGTTGACTGCATGTTCGCGTAACCCGACGCTTTTTTGCTCAAGTGACGTGCGTCGGCGAGTGGGGCGTGGAGCACAGACATCCCTTGGAGTCCCGGCAGTGATTCGAATCCAGCAAGCTGCACGAAGCAGTGGATTGAATTGGACGAGACATAGCGAGACCCACGCAGCGGAAGCTAAGGATGCATGCAACGTCCTGCTTGGTTACAGGCTCTCTTTAAGCCGTTCATCATCTTTGTATTAGATTTGTGTGGAATCGGACTGGGAGGAGCTGGAACATGTTCAGACGGCATTCCGTAGCAGATCGTCTTGCGGGCCGTTTCCATAACGCCCAAAGACTGGATGACTAGAATATTTGCGGTGCGTGTCCATGCTGTGGGCAGTCCTCCTTCTGACCAGGGGAAGAACTTGCAAACAGAGGAGGATGAGACGCTCAGATGCATGGGTGCTGAGAACAGCACAAGTGCACAGAAAGCGGATGTGGCAGCTCAGGATCTTTTTGTCTCTTCTGGAGCCCTGGTGGCAACATGTGGCAACCACTCCTGTTGCTTCAAGATCTTAGGGTTTTACGGGGCGTAGGTGCCACCACAAGCTGTGTCTTGCTCTTGCTGGCTGCCTGCAGGGAACTGAAGGAACTAGATCTGCTTCGCAACTTGAACTACGTACTCCCATGCCGTTGTGACAATCAAGCGACACGCGTGATGACACACGCGGGAAGGCGTAGCTCGTCCGTCAAATCTCCACGTGCTTGTCGGAGATCCGTTGACGAACCAGGATCGGCTACGAGAGGAGCATGAGCTCCAAGTGAACAATTTGAGCAGCAAGATCGGTGAGTTGCAAAAGCGACTCGACACCTCAGGCCACTGATCAGCAGCTAGAGCAGCTAGGTGACTGCGCGCATTGCAGCCTCTGTTGAGCGAGCCTTCGCCCAGGGCCTTCCAGGCATGAGGATGAGGGTCATACAGGCAGCCCGGAAGCATCCACTTCAGTGAGGCTTTAAGCAGGCTCTCGTCGCATTCATTATTGATTGTGTGCCGTTTGGCATGACTGATGGAAGACCTGGTTAAGGCACCAATTCTGTCGAGCTGGGCCTGGAAGATGCAGACAAAGACAAAGCTGCGTGGTGAAACAAGCGGATCTTTGTTTTTTCTGCGCTCACACAGAAAAATTGCAAATGCTTTTCTTCAGAAGTCCGGCCCCAGCCCGTGACTCAAAAGAATCCGACCCTTCAGTACGCAATGGCGGTCGGCTCATGTCTTGAATTCGCCCCATGACAAAACGATGGCGGGGTGATGGAGGCTGATACCCCATCTTGAAACTCAGTGCCAAGAGGCTCAGGCCGAGCTGGCCATCAGGTATTGGCATCAGAATTCATGCTTTCAGCAGTTTACTTTGATTAAGATTGCGTCTTGTGAGAATTACCGAGCTGCCTGGACATTGGAACATGTATTGATTTCCCAATGGCAGCCCAAGTTGAACTTTCCTTTCGTGCAAGTCTTTCTGAAGCGGACTGCTTTAGGATTTCGTCCTGCGCGCCAACAACGTTTTGCGTCCTTTTCTCGTTATGGGCTTCGACTCTGGAGGAAGCTGCGTAAGAGACTCTTTCACAGCGTGCAGCCTTTTAAGTGTGCAGTGTAGAGACGCTAAGCGTGGGAGATCTTGCACGATCTCTCAAGTTTCACAAGAGCTAGTGTTGATGCTGTCAAGCTTCTTCGCAGCTAGAGAACGGTGGATGATGAAGTGTATGCAATTGTCGATCGAGCATGAGTCTTGAAGAGCCTCCGAAAACATGTATCGGGAATCTGTTGAAGCGAATTGTGCAGTTTCGCCAGATGACTTGGCCTTGTCACAACCAAGCAAGTTTGTCTTTACCCTTTCTGTCACACAGTTCCTTTGCATCTTCAGTGGATCGCTGGCTTATAACGTTAGTATTGCAGTTTCGACCCATTCTGGTGCCGGCTTCATTTACCAAGCACACGTGTCCGAGAAGCTACACTGCAGTCGTGTAAGGACCTTTTGGCACAATGTTCCTGTTTGGAACAAGTTTATGCAGCAGCATGGGGAGTCGAGTCTTCCTTGCAAGTGTTCTTCCTTACAGCTCCCGGCAGACTGTTTTGTGGACGGACACGTAGTTGCGGGATTTGAGATGCTTGCTGCTTGCCTCTGTGCATCCTGACTTGTGGTACCTGGGACAGGGAAGTGCAAACTCCACGTTCTTTCCTTCCAATACTAAATTCTTTGCTGATGCACTGGAAAGATTTGACAAATGGCGACGTATTCATGGAGTGCCAGTAGGTATTTTGCAGTCCTTTCAGACTTTTCTGCTGCAGCAGGGGGCTGTGCATGAGCAGTGTGTTCTTCAAGACTCTCGGTTGGATTGGAAGCGAGTTCAGAACTGCAAGAAAGCGCTGCAAGATCTGGTGGTTCGCTGCGAAGATCATCACCCGAATCATCTGATGGCTTTTAGCCCTCAATTCTACTTTGCCAGTGTTAGCCGCACATGGACTGACTCTTCTGTTTTTCAAGAACTCAACATGGATGCGGAGGCTCTTAAGGCTTGGGTGTCCGAACAGATTCCGAAGCAGCTGAAGACTCGGTACTCATGGGGCGTTGATACCGCTGGAAACCTGCCTGTTGGTTTCGATTTCTTGAAACGGAAGAAGATGTTTCGGAAGGGACGTACTATTGTGTCGTGCTTGCGTGCTCCGCTGCGCTGATTACTCGCGGCTGCGGCGTACGCCATTCAGTTCATGTTGAATTCTGTATAGAGGTTTGGCGTCTGGTTCATCGGTACCTTCAAGACATGCCGCCATCACAGGGTCGGGTTCTTTAACAGAAACAGTGTGCCTCGTGAGGTGATCGTTTCTGCACTGCAACTGTTGATCTGAGACTACAAACAGCACACTGGCGTCTGTGTGTTTACCATTGACCTTCGCAAGAGCGCAGCATCAGCGCAGCGAGCACTGCCAAACAAACCGAGGGGCGGCAAATCAGGTAGCCTGCGAACTCTTGCAGTGCGGCATCTGGTCTCTATTGTGCAGATATCGTTCCGCACAGGGGTATTCGTTGCCAATCACCAGTGTTTTCAGCAGGTTCGCGGCACTTGCATAGGTAACCAGATTTCGTCGGTCCTTTCCAGTTTGCCAGTCATTTTGGGAGAGCGGATGTGGAAGCATTCTCTACGCATGCAACTTTTTGATCACGGACTGCAAGAGCATCATTTCTTCATGTGCCGATATGTTGACAACCGTCTTGTACTGTGGGACCTTCCCGCGTCCAGTGTTAGAGCAATGCGCGAGTTCTTGCATCCTGGTTCGTCCATGTGCGTCCATTGAGCTTGAAGTGATAATTCCTTCCTAGGCTTTCGACTTTGTATGCGCAATCGTGCAGTGGTGTACCAACAACCAAAAACAAATCCTCAGGAAATTTTGGATCCTGTAGTAGTAGTAGTAGTAGTAGTAGTAGTAGTAGTAGTAGTAGTAGTAGTACATTGTACCGGAAATCGAAGGCCGCTGTTTGTGACCTAGCAAAATCTTGCCCATCTTGTCCAACTTGGTCCGGCAAGATAGCTAGGTGACCAAGCCTGCCTCCCCCCACACGCCCCGCCAAGTGGTGCAAGGGGCTTTTGGTCAAGATGGGCCAAATCTTGCTGCAATCTTGCCCCCCGAGAAAACCAAGATGGGCAAGTTTGATGCACAAAGATTGTCAAATATAGACCCTCGTTTCCCGACTGGCGGCAGTAGTAGCCGTCGTCGTAAAAGTAATAGTCAGTTGAAGCATGTTGACGGAGTAGCATTCTTGTCTGCAAGAAGCCCGCCTCCTCTTTCGGCCCCTTCTGCTTCGCTCGCACCAGCGGTCTAGGAGCCGCAATTCCGGAATACATGCATTGAGACACAACCAAAAGACCTTGCAATATCTTGCGATGGATTTCAATCAATCAAAATCAACCACGGAACCAGCTGAGCCCACCTGCATCATCTGAAGGATCGTGCTACATCAGAGTGGGCGCTACATTCAATCATATAGTGCTGTACGAAAGACACAGTGATGCCAACAGTATCCTGAATACCCAGAGGGACCAAGCCGTAGGCTGTGAGCTGTGAGTGCTCGCCCTGTGCATGCAGCATTCTTCGATTGATCATCACGTCCCCATTCTGAGGCTGAAGCCGACGGCATGCACGCCCTGAGAAGTGGTGGAGGAGGATCGCCGAAGCTACAGCGGAAACAAACCAATTCGCAGTTACCAGGACAGCAAGTGATTGGACATGTCTTTGAGTCTCTGCACGAAGGTCGTGCAAAAATGTACTTCATTTGTAGAGGGCTTAGCGGCCCCTGAATGGAGACGACAGTCGTAGCCTGAAACTTCAGTATCTATTGGCCAACCAGCGGCACGGCCGGCGGCACGCACAGTGGCTGACGACCCCAGCCACATGTCAGCCCAGCAAAAAATCACACAGAAGTCTGGGACTAGAAGGTTCTCCCGATCTTGCTAGCACTGCCCACATGCAGAACGACATCGAGAAGGAGAGCGAGTGCTGAAGTTCGTTCGATTCGTCCTGTGGGCTTGATCCGTTTGAGGATAATGGAGCGCAGGTGCGCTAGGGCTAAGGAGGCCTCATCAGGAGATGGACTGAACGGCCTTTTGCGCCCAAGAGCAGCTTCCCAAACGCATGAGGGCATAAGCCGAAGGTAGGTACAGGTAGTCCTTGGCAAAGGATTTTTGCGGTCAAAGCCATGCTGTTTCTATGAATGTGGGCATCATCTTCCGTCAGGGCTCTCACATCCACAATCGCATGAGAGAGAGGGAGTGAGGATGCTGCAGGAGAAGGGCCCAGGTTTGATCAAAAGTGATAAGGCGGTCGGATGCTTCTCCACAGTTCGACACATTGACGAAGTCGAGGCTGAGGTTGAACCGAGTTTAACTACTTAGGTGCCAACGGCGATCTGCCTCATGCGCCAACTAGTTGAGGTTCACTCACCTGGGCATCCACACCCATACAGATGGATGGCGGGACGCCCCTGGCAACTTCTTTCATCGCTATCGCGGCTTCGTGTGCCCTGGTATGCCACGGCGACATTCCGCCTTCACACGAGCAAGGGGCTGAATCTGTGGACAGGAACTTGAAGTTGTTGTCTCACAAAGGTCAAGCGCCCTGTTCGAGACTTCTTTTGCCAGCTTGATCGTCACCTGGCAGCAATTGAGCAATGTACCTTGTGATTTTGAGCTCAGTGCCCACCTGACGACGGCACGCGTGGTTAGGGTTTCGGATCACTTATGATGCCGGCCCTAGACCCATGAGCAAGGCGCGCCTCCAAGGCCGAAGTCGACCAAAGTACACTCGGGTGTTTGATTTTCAGTGCCGGCATTAGCAAGGCATGAAGCCGTGACCCGCCATCCGCTGTCGTGTGGACGACACCACCTATCGTAGAGCATCGCTCCTGGTAACAGCAATAAATCAAAACCCGGTCTGTGGCACAAAACGCTCAGCTATACCTCGGGATGCATTTCCAGGATGGGTTTCCAGTTGGACGCATCACGACTTCCACTGACATATATGTTGCCTTCAGTTTCAGGATGCATCATGTTGGCAATGCCGACATAGTGTTTCCCATGTGCTCCTTGGATCAGCCGGCTGCGCTGCAAACCTTGGAAGACCAAGGTGTTCAACGCACTGGTCATGGCTGCTGACGTTCAAGTCATAGGCCAGCGCTGCCCAACTACTGGTTGTCGCAGCCGAACTGGCGGAGCCCTGCCCATGGCCCGTACACCGCCAGGTATCGACATTGGAGCAGACCTTGCATATGCGGCGTATATGCCAACATCTCTGACTGCACCATGGGCACGGCCCATGTTTGAGTATTTTGACTTTGGGCTGCAAACCATCGACTGAATTGTGTTGGGAACTTGTCGTTGAATAGTTGGCTCAGCTTCAGCGACTCGTTGCTTTGTGCTTAAACGAGCCTGATGCCGGCTCGGGGTCTCGAGCTCCAGCTTGCAATAGATCGTTTTAGAGCTTTCTGGATTCTGTGGACAACGATTGCTGTTGATGCCCCGCAACTGCTAGAAGAGAATAGGCGCCCGAGAGCTTCGGGGATGTTGCGGGAAAGCCCCCGTTTCATGGGCGTAGCCTGATTGGCCCGACTGAGGAGTGGTTCTTTGGCATTGTGCCTCGGACAGCCAAAGAATGATTGTCTTGCAGAGTGAAATCAGAATTGCTGCCGCTATGGTCCTGGCATGTCCTGGCCCTGGGTCTTGTAACAGCCTTTGCCACTATGCCACATCGCTACCGAAACCACGCTAGTCCAGCTTATCGCAGGCATTCACAGTTGAGATAGTCATGAAGTTCACTGCATTCGGGCTGGACTTCGTGAAAGACCTCTGGAACTGGATAGACACATTCATTGCATCTTGGCTTGGAAGAAGGCTCGAAATTGATTATCTGGATCTTTCAGGCTTGTTTGGGCCTCGCCCGCCCTGCCTTAGCATGTCTCTACGGACTGGGCGACTTGTGGATCGAACGGCCGTAGCTGGCAGGAACATAGATGCGACAGCGGCTGCGGCTAGCAGATACGACAAGCTGCTTGAAGGTTTGCTGTTGGTACATCGATGTTGTCGCCAATGACATTCTGCCAATCAACACGACTCTGCTGCGCTTGCTGCGCTTGGTGCGGCTTTTGCGGCTGCTCAGGCAGAGCTTGTTTCAACTGGCTGGTACACTAAGCACTGCGTTGTGAAAGCATAGGTATAGGACCCATAGTTCCAGAGCCTAGATGAAAGATACAGCGTCTTTCTCTGATCTTGCAATCTTGCAGCAGATATTAAGAAACGGAAGTGTGGTCGACCAGCATGTTGGCACAATGCCTGCCACATGCGACTTCGCTGTCAGGCTGGTTAGGCTGATAAAGACTTTTGAGGCTGTGCTGCATTCAGACTGGGCTCTACTCGCTACTTCGTTGAGCAACGGTTCTGTCGTTTGGCGGGTGCACGATCTTTTGGGGGCAGTACTTTCGACGGGGATGCTTGTGGAAATGTAGTGCCCGAGCTTCAATGAGGGATGTCAAGCTGTAGAAGCTGTACTTCTACGCTACACTGCAGAACGTTCTGGGGATTGAGAGGTATGATTCAGGGATATTCAGGGAGTTGATCAGCATCCTGCACTGTGCCGTTTTCTTGTTGCTTCTGTGCGGAGTTCCTTGCCAGAGGCTTGCTGTTCTGTTATTGTTTGTATCCGTTCGTCAGGGCATTCTAGAACAAGGTTACCGCTCAAGCGGCGGCTTGTGAACAAGATGTCTATGCACAGTTGCAGTTCTACCTCTGGAAACATGCGCCAATGACCAACAATCGCCTGCTTGGGGAAATGCACAATGCTCTCAGGATTCACTCTACCTCATGACAACGGCTCTAAAGGGAAGCGCTCTTATTCTCACCTGGGCCTGTGTCTTTGCTGCAATGGTTGCCGAGCAGCGCGTGTGCACACGTAAAGATATGACTCCAAAGCGTACCGAGGCGTGTTGTTGCTGGTCCTCCAGGTCGGACTGCTGGCCTTTGGGATCTCGATGTTAATGTAGATCTGATCGCTTGCTGTCAGATACTGCTGGCTCTCCTCCTGAACCAGATTTTGCAACCCATCAGCAAGTGTTGCCAGCTTGAGGGCGGACCAGGCTTCGAACCTCGAAATCCTTGGTTGAAGCTGAGCTGGAAGGCGGGCACTGTTCACAACAAAGCTACTAGTTACTAGTAGCCAGCAGCCAGTGTTTTCCACGACTCCAGCTGCCCTGCCACAGGGCGGAAACCACCGAGTCCAGCACAGCTGAAACAGCCCCAAACATCGGAATCTGCCCGCCCAAAAGTGCTTTCGCTGAGGTATACAGTCTACTTCCCAAGTGAGGATTATCCTCTCGCTGAACGACTGGATGCTTGGGCTGCTGCAAGAAAAACCGTCAAGTCTGACTTAAGTGGCCCACAGTCTAGCACCAGCAGGCACTTCAATGCCGTTCGTGTTTTCGTTCGTCTGCTGGGACAGGCCCAAAGGCAAGCTGACATGCCCTGTGACAAGCCGAGCATGCCAAGGAACTATTTGAATATTTTGGGACGCAGCACCCTTAGCCTTTGACATGGAAATGCTTCTGCACGCCGGTTGGTTCGTCTGCAAAGGTTGTACATGTAGTGGATCACAACCTGATAGTTTGGTCGAGTCTTTCAGCGTTAGGTCGTCGCGACAACTGTCTCTAAAACTGTTTAATTGCGAGGCGATATTCGATATTGGGACATGTTCTCGTTTTTGGTGAAATATCAACTGGTTTATGCCGATGGGTGTCATCTATTCAGTGAGGTCGTCTCTAGGCTTTCCCTTGCGATGCATTGGCCCAATGTTGGACGTATTGTTACTGCCGGAAGAATGCCTGCATAAGTCTCGTCACAGGGACGTGGAAGTGGGTTTGCGCTGTGTTTGGCTTAGATTCAGGGGCTCGCTGAGTCCATTCCCGGGATCTGTCCGACTCCGAGTCTTGTAGGGCGTTCAATTTTGGCCTTGTCATAACACTCAGATTGGTCAGCAATGGAAGCAGTGTTGTAAATAACATTGAAACCTGTTGGAATGTTGGACTCACAGTCGACCGCTGCCCAGTCGCAATCGCACGTGTCGTCTCTTTTGCATGGGGCTTCACTGCTTGGCTTGACTTCACTGTAGGAAGCTATGAAGTCGATTTCTCACACGACATGTGATTGATCTGACATAACCTCGCTCCTTGCAACTTTCGGTCTCAATGCGGGCGCTATCCGGTCACTGATGTATTGAGGCGGCGAAGCAAGATATCAGCCGGTCTTTCGGTCAGCATCGTCCCCAAAAAAATCTACGTATTCTAACAGGTCCTGCAGATGAACTTTTGAAGTGCTTGGGTTGCGATGGGAGGGATTTAAGCAACCCGTTTCAAAAGTGAAGCCGGCTCGTCCTCCGATATGCACATGGCATTTGTTGCATTTTCCGGTATTTTCTCAGCATGTCCTCAACTCTAATTGAAGTAGACATACTTATGGACAATGTCCATCGTCTAGTTGCTCTGGCAGGCTTTGGCCGAAGCCGAAGCATGAGTCGGGTTCAGTGGATTCCGTACGATGCTTTTCCCCGGTTGGCTCAGATATTGAGCCGGCCTGTGTGGATAGGCACAGCTGGAATATGTACTACGTACAGACTCCTGAGGCGCTGTGGAAGGTTCACGTGCTTTCTTGGGCCTGCACTGCAAGCAAGGTTTACTCGCTCAATGCTCTCAATGTTCGAGATAACGCTGGGCAACTGGCCACCAGTCTGCAGGCTGGCAGCAACTCCACGGCACACGACGCAGCTAACTCAACCAAGATAGTTGGTAGAGCCCTCCATGCATCTAATCTGCCATCATTTGATGTTACGCTTTAGACTTCACCGTTTGCTGCTACAGAGTTGCTTGTTTGAGGGCATAGTTTCACAGTCGCGAGGCAAGGCAAGAGCTGCAGAACTTACAATCCCAAGCGCCCGTTCCTTGTTCCTGAAACAGGCTGCTCTCCGAGAAAGTTTCGGCATCTTAGCTTTGAGACTAAGATGTTCGCAGATTTGCTCGACTTTGGAGTGCCTTCTTAAATTATCTGAGGAATGGTTTATGCTGCTTTGCGTATTGCACAAGCTGGTCATTGGCTTTGCGGTCGTGGGGGTCATCAACGGCGTTTTCATCCAGGTCGGCAGAGCAGGGATTTCGAATGTTCGGTAGAGGAAAGACATGACCTGTTTGTTGCCAGCACGGCCTGGTGCAGGAGACCTTCAAAGTGGCATCTTCTGATAACCAGATAATGATGAGGCGAGATGCAACATTGTCTTGCAGCAAAGGAGAGGCCCTGCATCGCTGAAACCACCAGGCAAAAAGAGCGCTCGTCAAATCTGCATGAGATGAAGATGCTCCTGGGTGACACAAGAGAGATCAAGAAAGCTTCAGGGTACTGCGTTACCGATTTCTGTGCTGATGCTCGCATGAAGCTGTCAGTTGGAACGTTCACCTTTGTAGATGCTCCAGGCGACAGCTGTTTCTGGAAGCTGACAATGACCGCTGCGGGCTCGGATTCCCGACAGCTGCCTGCTGAGCAATGCTTCGTCACATCACGTCAACTTAGCACGTCAAACCAACGGTTTGCCAGCGCGATTCTCCCGTGCAGGGCATAATACCGCTTTTCTCTTCACAAGTCACCCGGGACCCCAGACCCGAACCCGGGACCCAGAACCAGGGACGGAACCCGGGCCCGGGAACCCGGAACCCTGGAACCCGGGACCCGGAACCCCAAACCCGGAAAACCCGCGACCCGGAACCGGGACAAGGGCCCCGCGGAACCCGGGAAGCCGGGAACCAAACAACGACAACAACAACAATACCAGCAGCAACAGGAACACGGCAACAGCAACAAACAGCAACAGCGCCAGCGACAGCAGCAGGAGCAGCATCAACAGCAACAGCACCACCGACAGCAGAAACAGCAACAACAACCCACCACCACCACCACCAACAACAACAACAACAAACAACGCCACCACCGACGCAACAGCAAAAACAACAACAACCACCACAACCACGACAACAACAACGACTACGACAACAACAACGACGACGGCAACTGACAACAACAACAACAACAACAACAACAACAACAACAACAACAACAACAACAACAACAACAACAACAGCAACAGCAACAGCAACAACAACAACAACCACAAGCAACGACAACAACGACAAGGACAACAACAACAGCAGCAACAACAACAACAGCAGCAACAACAACAACGCCAACGACAACGACAACGACAACAGCAGCAGGAGCAACAGCAACAACAACAGCAGCAGCAACAACAACAACAACCACGACAGCAGCAACAACAACAACAACAACAACAGAAGCAACCCAGCAACGCGGGAACCCGGAACCCGAGATCCGGAACCCGGAACTGGGGACCGGGCCCCTTTCTGCAAGAAAAACGATATCCCCGTGCAGGGACAGATGCAGGGGTTTATGCACCAACTATCACCAACTGTGCAAATCATGCTTATTGCTCGACCTGCTGCTAAGAAGATGGCTTGGTGAGCCGAGAGGAGTGGCGTGCACTGGTGCCCCGGTTACAAGATGTTACAAGTTTCATGAAGGGGACTTGCATTGCAGCGGTCGTCTCAACAACTCCGCTCAGCATTTCCGACCGTGTGAGCATGTTATCGTTTATTGGCCCATAGGCCATAGTCAGGATACCTGGCATACCTGCGGGTTAGCACCACGTATTGTTATTCAATGTGCGAGAGAGAGAGATAGGCTGCGGGCCGTCTCCAAGGTAAGCCATCCTGCTGTACAGTTATGGCTTGGCTCA